ATCCAAAACAATACCCATCTATCCTTGGGGATGAGGTGGGAGGGCCAGGTGAAGCTCGTCTAGGACCTGCTCCCTGTTGTCCTGACTCCACTTGGGCCATCCTCACGGGACCTGGGGCCCCGAAGCTCACAGGAAGAACTGACCCCTGGGACACGATGCCCCCTCCCCTCGCATATATCCCATTCCAGGTCCTGCCTTTAGGGGGGTTGAGGTAGGTGATCCCCAGACATTCCCCTCAGTTCCCTGGGGCGCCCTTTTCACGCTGAGTCATGTCCCCAGAGCAGCGTTCCCAGGTAAACAAGCCCCTGGGGACTGGGGGCGGCCCGACTCATCCTATCAACCACTCTCCCCCCTACTAGTCCTTGTACCTACCCTGGCAGCAGCCACAGCGGGCCCAAACCTCTGTGACACCATATACCAGGGCTTCGCCGAGTGTCTCATCCGCTTGGGAGACGGCATGGGCCCTGGAGGCGAGCTGGAAACCATTTGCAGGTACCGGCGGGTGCGGGTGGGAGGCAGCGGCCCAATCCGAACCATCCTCGGGGCCTGAACCTCTTCCTTCCCCGTCCAAAATCTCCTCGCCCCACCTAATCCCCCTAATCCCACTCCCTTAATAGGTCTTGGAATGACTTCCATGCCTGCGCCTCGCGGGTTCTGTCGGGCTGCCCAGAGGAGGCGGCCGCTGTGTGGGAGTCACTACAGCAAGAAGCTCGCCGGACCCCGCACCGGGATAACTTGCACACTCTGTGCGGTGCCCCCGTAAGCGTCCAGGAGCGCGGCGCAGGCCCCGAGACCAACCAGGAGACGCTGAGGGGAACAGCGCTTGCGCCCGCCCCTGCCCCCGCACCTCCGCTGCTGGCGGCTGCTCTGGCGCTGGCCTGCCTCCTGGGGCCTCTGGCCTAGCCATTCGGGTCTGCAGGCAGCGCCCGTGCCTCCAGCCCTGCTCCGGCGCCGCGTTGTCCGGGCTCTGCAGAGCGGCACGGCTTTCATTAAAGGTATTTATATTTGTACTAAGCTCCTTCCTTTCTCCCGGCTGTGGCCCCGCTTAGCTGGGGTGAGGCCCCCGGAAGCTGATCCTCTGCATGGGATGGGTGGGGAAGAGGGCTGCTACACGGGACTCAATTTCCCTCCTTACGCTCATTTCCGCTGTCGGTGCAGAGTTTCCATTGCGCACAGGTCCCAAGAGCTACGATGGAGACCTGAGATCTGCAGGAACGCAAAGCCTTTCTCTCTGCCTTCTGGGCTGGCTGGGGTGGGGACCTGGCTGGGTGGGGAAGACAGGAGTTCTTAGCCCCTTCCTCCTTGTACTGCCTGCTCCTCCTGCCCCTGGCCCCTAGGTGGACTGCCCTCCTCACCCCATCCTGTCCGCCCCCCACTCCCCAGGCTCATTCCAGCCTCCAGGCTCTTGACCAGCTCGCCTCCTCCTCCCTCTGCTGAACTGTCATCTCAGCCTTCAAGACATAGCTCAGACTATGTGCTCAGTCCCCTCCTCTGGGTTCCTGGTCCATCTGAGGGGAGCCAGTTCCAGAAGGTGGGGAGCCCCTGTTGAATGAAGTCCACATTCAAGCTCCTGACATGACCCGAAGCTGCAGAAAATGGGGGTCACAATAGGGGGTCCTCTGGCCTCTGCTCTCCACAAGCTTGTTCTTTGAGAAGAGGTATACAGTGTGAAGTCAAAATAACCCCAGAAGGCTTTCTGGAAGCAGTGGAATGAGAGTGTGTGGTGTGTTCATCCTGCTGGAAAGGAAGGGCAAGACTCAGCACACAGGCAGAATCCGAGGAACGAAGGGGCTTCAGAGAGGGTGGGACCCTCTTTTGACCAGTCCTTTACCATCACCACCAGGACCCTATTCCAAACCATCACTTCATGACTTCTGTAGGGCATGGCCATCGTCTCCTCACTGGTTTGTATTATTATTCCCTGCACTTTATTCTCTACTTTCTAAATTGAAAACTTGATCCCTATGTTAAGTTCTTTCTCCTTGTCTACAAGGCCCTACATAAGCCAGCTCTGTCCTCTTCTGCAACTCCCCTCTGTAGCAGCACAGAGGAGCTATCCACCTACCCAGTCCTTGGGGTCAGGGGAGGCTTCAGAGAAGTGGCACCCACATAGGGGTGATGAGAGGTAAGGATGTGAGACTTACGAGTGTTGAGCTTTACAAGAGGGGGTCCCCAAAGCAATTAGCCAGGAGGGAGTGGTGGGAGCCCAGAGCTCGGCAGACCAGGCTTATGCTGAAGCCTATGCTGGGAGGCTCCTGCCCCTGGGACATAGTTAGGCCTGATGAGACCCTTGTTTAGGCTCTAGGGTGACAGGTGTTTCCACCCACATGTGTAGAAACCTTACCTCATCCATGCTTCCTAATTAACTCTCTCTCTCTCTGCCCTTTGCTCTCCTTTCCTTTACTCCTGTGCTTCCTGCACCTGGACTTTTATCCCCACTTCTGTCTCCCAACCAGTCATTACCCATCTTCTCACATCACCTGAAGAAGAAAGTTCTGGGGAAAACCCTCCTAGATCTGCTCTATTCCTTTTTTTTTTTTTTTTTTGAGATGGGGGTCTCATTATGTTGCCCAGGCTGGTCTCAAACTCCCAGGCTTAAGTGATCCTCTTGCCTCAGCCTTTCAAGTAGCCAGGATTATAGATGTGTGCCATTGTGCCTGGCTGATCCACCTCCACTTTGACCACCAGAATTTACCAGAAGGAAAGAGATGAGAAACATCATCACCATGATGCTCTGGCCTGGGCAGCTGTGCGCAGGGCGCAGTTAGTTTGGCTGTCAGCCCCTCCCTCTCTTCCAGGCCTGATGAGGATACCGGGAAACTTTTGTTCTTCTGTGTCTTTGTACATCTAGTTTCTTTGCTTGAATACCCTTCTCCATTTCCTCCTCATGAACTCCTACTTCTTGCTCAGTATCACCTCTTCCAAAAAGTATTCCCTAACCCCAGCTACAAACTGACTCAGAAGCCTCCTCTAGGTCTACACAGCTCCTGTGTTCTCTTCTGTCTCAGTACTGATAGCACTGGCTTGTTGTTGTCTAGGTCCAGGTCAGAATTCCCCCCCTGTGGACTCCCCAAGGTCAGGGAGTCCACTTTGTGTCTCTAGCACCCAACCTAGGGCTGGGTATAAAGGGTGCACATGTGGGAATGCGTGGGATGAAAGAATCTCTAAGTCCAGCATAGGAAGTGCTACAGTCAGCAAGAGTTTGGACTAAGAATGACCCCAGTGTGGAGGATGTGTCATCTTGGAGTGGCCCCTTCAGCCTGGCATACTGCTAAGAGGACCAGTGTTGGAGCTCCAGACATTGAAAGTCTTCCAGAGCCCATCTTTATGGGTGGCCAGGAGCAGCCTGCTTCTAGGAGCAGGAGCCTGGCTGCTCTGGCCAGCCATCAGGCAGATTATCATTCTCCTGCTGTGACCTACTTTCCCCCTGGTTTTTGCTCCCTAAGTCACTGCTCTTCCATGGAGTCGGATGGGGGGCGGTGAGGGGGGGGATAGAATCTGCTCTCTGGCCAGAGGCTTAAGGGCTTTGTACGTTTTATCCCAGATGCATAGCTGCCCAGGCCAGAGCATCATGGTGATGATGTCTTTCACATTTGCAGCTCTGTGGACAAGGAGTACCTTATTGTTCAGGGCAGAGCTTGGGGAATGGATGTCCTGGGCCTTGTCCCCTCTGTATTAACATGCCTCTTCACTTCAGGGCCTCATGCTCTTCCCCAGAGCCCAGGGCAGCACCGGCACATAGTAAGGGCTCAATAAATATTTGTTAATTAATTTACCAAATATCTGTAAAGTAGGGGTGTTGTGTGGATTTCTGAGTGCCATCGACTCTGGAATTCTATATTACTTTTAACCCTCACAACAACTCTGGGAGGTCAGGACTATGATTCCCGTTATACAGATAAGAAAAATGAGTCTTATGGAGGAAAGATGTCTTGGCTAAGGTCACACAGTTTCCTCTTTAGTGGTGAGGAAAAAAAAGTCACACAGCTGTGGAAGTGTCAGCTGGGATTTGATCCCAGATTTGTTTGGCCCCATAGTCTATACCCTTAATCATTGCACCAGACTTTTGGAAATAATTTTTAAAGTTTTTCTTTTTTAAATGAAATCTTATATGAAACCTTACTACATAAAACAGATGAAATGATGTTTTATTGGTGTTAATTTATTTTTAGGTTTAAAATATAACATTAGCTTATATAGTCAATCAAAGACAATACCATATGTGAAGTTCGTGCTCAATAAAGATGTGTTGAATACATGAATGATTGAAATGGGGAAGATGAATGGTAGTTACAACACCCTTATGACCAGCAACGTTTATTTTTTTCCCCCTGCAATTTAGGTCGATTGTAAAGTGGTGAAACAATTCTCATCCTATAGAGAAGTCATTGTGAATGGTGACAATTTTTTAAAAATCTATTTGCTTTGCAGTCTCAGGATACACTTAAGTTCAAAAACAACAAAAAATTAAAACAAAAAGCTGTTACTCTAGAAGTTGGCCCAAGACTGATTTCACCAATCCACAAGTTAACCGTTTGCAACTGTGCTGTGATGGAGGAAAAACTGAACACATCCGAATGCCTGAAATTATTTTAATTGCAGTTTTAATGAAAGTTAATAGATTTTAATGAAATTTAAGTCAATCCTTTTCGGAGTTCCAGAGGCACTTCCAGAACCCTCTGTTGGAATGCACTGCTTCCCAACGTCCCACTACAGAATCCCCTTTCCCCCAACCAGAAACTTGAAACTTTCCCCTGCTTCCCGCGGTCCCTTTTTTTAGCACAGATCACCCGCGCCCCAGCCTGCGTTCGAGCTACTTTGCGCGACAAATAAACCCACCGCCCAAAGAGAAAACCTGTCCCCGCCCCGAGGACGTTGATTGGCAGGCCAAGCTCGGAGCGCCGCCGAGCGCGTAGCCCGACCTCCAGAGAGACCGCCCCCGTCCCGCCCCGTAGGTGGCCGGGTTTGTTTTGGCGTCAGGCGCGCGCTGTGATGACGCCACGACGCTGATGCCCGAGGATGGCGGCGGCGGCGGTGGCCGTGGCCCCGGCCTGTAGACGGTCGGCAGAGCCGCCGAGACGCCGAAGAGTCCGCCGCCCGCGCGAGGTGAGGCGGCCCGGCCCAGGGCGACAGCCCGACGGGCGGGAGGGGCTGACGAACATGAGGCCGCGGTCGCTTTCTGGCGCACCGGGGCCTGCCCCTGCCCAGCCCAGCCCGCAGCCCTCGGCCCGTGACCCGTGCGCCAGGGCCTAAGGGGCCGGCGAGCGGGCCGGGCGATAGTTGCTCCGCGTCCCCGGTGTCCGAGCCTGGACTGGCTCGAAACGTGCTGTCGTGCTGGGCAGCCCGTCTCTGGGCCCGCGTAGGGCTGGTGGACGTGGTCGGCTGCCCTGCCTGCTGTTCAGCTGTCCTGTGTCCAGCGCGGGTCAGGTTGATCTAACCCGGTTGTCCTGACTGCCTTCTCACGTCCGGCGCCTGGTCCACACCCCTCCTTTGCGTCTGGTCGCCAGGAGCTGGCGGGGCAGCAGATAGCTTCCTTGTACCGGCTGGGAAAAAGGCCACAGTCCCGCTTGGTTGCCTGCTTGGCAAGTCTGTCACCCCTCTACCTGCAAGGGAAAGCTTACCCCCCCACACACCCACGGCCTCCCTCAATGAAGCGGCTGAAGTGATAATTCGTCCCTTAAAATCCGAGTAAATCCTTCATTGCCGAAAACCGGCTCCTTAGTGCCTACAGGAGAAAGGCCACACTTCTTACCAAGGCTCTTTATAATCTGTTAGAGGCCTAACCCTGCAGTCAAAACGGAGGCATTTCTGCGCTCTGTTTACATCATGTGTTGTTGAGCCATGTGAACCTTATGTGAGCCTCCTGTTAGCTCTGTGGTATCATACTGCTGTGCTTTAGATACACAGTTTTCACAGGGCACGGAGGCTGGTGCCTGTAATCCCAGCTACTTGGGAGTATGAGGTGGGAGGATCGCTTGTGACCAAGAGTTCAAGATCAGCTTGGGCAACATAGCAAGACCCAGGCTCTAAAAAAAAAAAAGAAAAGAAAAAAAGGACATTCAGTTTTCCTAGTTTGTAATACTCTTCCTTCCACTTCACCCCCACCCACCAGTATGGGAAACTTACATCTGTTCTATAAAACCCACCTGAGATATCACTTCCTTGGAAAAACCTCCCTTGCTTCTTATGTAACCATTGCCTTTTCGGTACCTTTATCCATGCTGCTACTATTGAGTATATCATGTTGTGTTACATGATGGTCTTCTGTCTGCATCTGTCTGGCATATTCTCTGTGCCTGACACAGAGTAGGGGCTCCACTAGCATTTGTTGAATCAGTTGGGTAGGTTGCTGATTTATGAATGGGTACACATTCAGCTGTATCATTCGGCACCTATCTGAGATGAGCACAGCAAATACGTGTGTGTGGTATGTGGTGCAGCCTCTTAAACTTTGATGGTCTAAAATCTCTTAGAGTAATTTTGTCAAGATACGAATTCAAGAGTCTCACTCTCTGAGATTTTGATTCAGAAGATCTGGAGTAGGAATCTGTATTTTGAAAAACTCCCCAGGTGAATTCACTGTGCTTCCTGGTTGAAGATCTTTGTCACTGCCTAAGGAAACTGTTGTCTCCCTTGTCTAGTGACAAAGGGCTAGCTGCGCCCTGTGGGCTCCTTTTGTGGTCTCATTGCCCATACCTTGGAGAGGCAGTACAGTTTGGTAGTTAGAAGTGTGAGCTTTGGAGTCAGAAAGACCTGGACTAATTTCTGGCTTTATGAGAGCTTGCATTGAGTCCTCGTTTATTCCTGTTTATTCCACAATAGGAATAATCATGCCTATTTCATGTGGTCGTAGAGAGGGGTAAGATGGTGCATATAAGATGCCTAGCACAGTGGGAACTCAGTTAATGTAAGCCATTACTATAACTAATGGCTCTTCTTCCCAGAATGTCCCTTGTCAAAAGAATGGTCTCATCTTGATCAGCCTGTTTGCTCTTCAGATTTAGTGTCGTGTAGGGAGCTGCCTTGTGTTATATGATTTCCTCAAGGTCATTTCTCATCATCAGAGAGAACTCTGACATTTCTGTGCTTCTAATCAGATATGGTTGGCCCTTCCCCTGGAAGAGATTTGGAATGCTGACTCACTAGAGAGTAGGGTTGCTGAATAAGCACATTGTCTAGATCTAATTGAAGTTCTGCGCCGTTTAAATTGGATAAATTAGCTAGACAAAGTGCTGCCTTCAGGAAACCTGTTTGCCCCTGACACTGAGCTATACAGTTGCACCTCATCTCAGGTTTGCTTGGCACCTGGAACAGAATGCCCCAGCAGATCCTCGTGTCTGTGGAATCTGAAATAGGTGCTGAGCTTTTTTGTCCATCACGAGTTCATAATTAAATGAGTGGGTTATTGGTTTGGCCTTCTGTTTTACTTTATGAGTAGAACACGTTAAATGGGCACTTTTGATCTTCTCCAGGGCTTCCCAGCTGTATAATGTGAATGGGCTATAGGTGCGCCTAAGTATCTACCCTTAAGCTTCAGGATAGCTGAGAACAGTTGTCTCCATTGATCCCAGGGTGTTACATGATAGTATCAATCTCTGTGTCTATCTTGGCACAAGGACAAAAATTTGAGAAGTACAGTCCTGGAAGAAGGGAAGCAGTTCTTCTTGTTGAGAGTTGGAGAGACTTATTTATCTGAACTCCCTTTTCTTCCAGCAATCTTACTTAGTGAGTGTTAAGCCGGTTTGTGTTGGCTAGATGATCAGTGAGCTAATTCTTGGTACAGCATTCTGTTGCCATGGCATCTGATGTGATGCTAAGGTAGAAAAATGTGATGTTTTTATTTGCTGGGAGAAAAAGATGTCAGAGGAACCCTTTCTAAACTGCCAGGCTTGAAGTACCTTTTAGGGCATCCTAAGAGTAATGGATCAAGTGATTCTTGATGCGGAACCGTTTGGACTGTAAGTTCCTTGGGGAGCAGAGACTATGGCTGTCGCCTTTTTACAGTGACTGGCAGAGTTCCTGGCCCACAGTAGGATCTCAGTAAATATTTGTGGATTGAACATCAGGAGTTTAGAGGAGAACTCCAGGTACATGGCCAGAGTCTGTATTTCTGATGATGGGATGGGCAGTGGGTAGGACGTTTTAGAGTTGGGGGTCATGATAAAATGAGAAGGACACAGCAAACTTTTGAATTTCTCTCCCTCAGCCTTAAGGCAGGGGTCTCTGCCTTCCAACTCTTACCATGTAAACAGTGGTTGTCAGCTGGAGTCCTTGAGAATTAGGGTTCCTAGTTACTATTTTCTAAAAGAGGTCATAGCAGTAGTTATTATGAAATAATATTATTAAAAGTTAAAACATAAGCATGAATAATGCACCAAGTGTCTTTAAACACAAGCACTGTAATAATTTGGTGTATATTCCTTCAGCTTTTTTTCTGATACATATATTAGTATATACATTTCTATAATACATATTTTCATCAAAATATCTTTTCAAAGGTAATATGTGAAGATGCTTTTAAAATATAGCAACAGCACAGAAGTGTGTTTAAAGGGAGAAGTTAAAATCCCCCTTCCTTCCTTGTACCCTTCTACCCATCCCCTTCACATTCCCACACCCCTAGAGGCAATCGCTTTTAACAGTTTCTCTTCTAGCTTTCTAGGATGTTTTTTCCATATATATGTCTTAAACATTTTATTTTGAGACAGGGTCTTGCTCTGTTACCTATTTCCACACACCCCACCACCCCCAGGGCATCAGCACAGGAAGTGGATCTGTTACCTATTCTAGAGTGCAGTGGCATGATCATAGCTGACAGTAACCTCAAATTCCCAGGCTCAAGCTATCCTCCTGCCTCAGCCTCCCGAGTAGCTGGGACTACAGGCATGCACCACCGCACTGGCGTCTCCTCCACTTTCAATCTGTAGTTGGGATAGCGGAGTACTAGTATCAGCCCATCTTTTAAGAGTTTCTAACTAGGATGAATGCAAAAGAAACTATGTCCCAGGAAGAGAGAAGGAAGGTCAGAGGGAAAATCCTTGGCTCTCTTATTACTGACTGACTTTATTAGATCCCTGTGCAAGCTTTGTTTGTTTAAGGTGAAAAGCCAGGCCTTTTATAAGCCTGAGTTTTTCTTATCAGGACAAGACTAGGTATGCATATTTAAACAAAAAGAGCCAGTGCATACACCTGGAGACAGCTATTTATTCTGTGAATCTAGGATTCTGCCTCCTCACCAGAAGAAGTGACATTTGAGTGGCCGTGCTGTCACCTTTGCACAGTTTGTCTTGCCTCTGACTAGTAGTAGATGTTGCTTACCAAGTGGTCTTGGCGATCCAGGGTCGGGGGTCTATGTTCTGCCTCAGGAGTATTGGCCCAAGAGCTGTTCCTTTCCTGAGCTTCAACCCTTTACTGCCTATTTTCCCTGAAGGAAGAGATGAATCTGCAAAATTCCAGAGTCCTTAGTTCACATCTGTGGCCTTTGTGAAAAGGAACCTTGTTCCTAAATGCCTTTGTTTAAATATTATTTCCTAAGTTGCTATGTAGGGCAGTGTGGGACCTCCTGGGAGTTTGGATGAGAATATCAGCAAATCCTGAAGAGCTTTGTGTTGTTGGAGGAATCTTTCCATCTCATGAAAAAAGCTAAACCTCATCTAAAAACAAAACCAAACCCCTCATTCTGCTGAGAATTACTGATGTACTGATTAAAACCTGGACCCTTAAGCTGTGGTCTCCAGATTCCTCCTTTGTTATCTGATGGATTTGTAATCAAGGTCTTGGGAGTGTTTCAGTGACGAGCTTGCTCCTTGAAAGAGTTGCCATATTGGTCAGTATTGGCCTCACCACCTTGAATTCAGGTCCTTGACTCTCTGTAATCTGATGGCCTCTGTGGGTTCTCTGTGACCCCCAAGGTGTCACAGTTAAACCTGCCTGGGTCTCCCTCTGCTGCCTTTGATGGGATCAGTTGCCAGCTTCACGAGGGGGTGAGGAGGTGTAAGTGTTGCCCCTCAGCCCCAAACACTACCCTTGAGCAGCCACGGAGTCTCTGACTCTGACCAGCTCTTTTCAGACGTCAAATTCTACAGCCCACAACCCGCGGTAAATGTCACATAGATGTTCCACGTATACGACGTGTGTCTAAAACTATACCCTTCCCACTGCTTCCCAAACCCTGCTGCACTCCTGACCCTTTCCCCAGGAGCTGAGCGAGGGACTGGAGTGCTGCTCTCACGCCTCCCTTCCGCCACTTGTGCCCACCCTTCAGCCTCTGTTGGTTCTGCTGCTGACATCTCTCGATGCCACTCCACTATCTGGGGCACCACACTTCACTGGCCCTTTTAGTCTACTCTGACTCTCTTCCAGTCCAACCTTATCCTTCTTTCTTTTCTTTTCTTTTTTCTTTTTTTTGAGACAGAGTCTCGCTCTGTTGCCCAGGCTAGAGTGCTGTGGCGTCAGCCTAGCTCACAGCAACCTCAAACTCCTGGGCTCAAGCGATCCTCCTGCCTCAGCCTCCTGAGTAGCTGGGACTACAGGTGCACACCACCGTGCCTGGCTAATTTTTCTATTTTTTAGTAGAGATGGGGTCTTCCTCTTGCTCAGGCTGGTCTCCAACTCTTGAGCTCAAAGCAATCCTCCCGTCTCAGCCTCCCAGAGTGCTAGGATCAGAGGCGTGAGCCACCGCACCCGGCCATCCTTCTTTCTAAACATAGAATTGATCACCTCTCTGTCCTCGTAAACCCTTTCATAGCTGTCCTCCACCTGTCAGGAAGGTCCTCGTCCTCGCCGTAACTTGTGCTGCTCCCGAAAGCCTGGCTCATTCTGACCTTCCAAAACTTCAGCTCCCCAGCCCTGGTTCTGTACCACCGAACTGCTGGTTCCCAGGCACGCGGTGCTCCTCTGGGCTTCTGGGCCTTGGAGTGCGTTATCTCTCTGCCTGAAACAGCACTCCCACCTTTCCCCATCTGACTCGTTCTTGCTTCCAGATTCAGCGTGGGGGTCACCTCCTTCAGGAAGCTTTCCCTCACCCCTGCCTCATTTGGCACGTATCTACTACCGTTTCTCAAGCTTAACACTTGAAATTTTCTGTTTTTATGAGTTTCTCTTCATTTAGACTGAGTTTATTGACATGTTTTGCTTGTTTTTTTGTGTGTTAAGATATAACCTACATTGGACCATATCATAGTGATTCCTAGCACCTAGTAGATATTTAATAAATGTTATACCCGAATTGATCATTTCACTCCCAATTCTGTGTCATAATTAATAGGAAATTTTCAGCAATCTTCTTCAACCCATGGAGCCTCAGATAGACTTAGAGAAAGGTAGTCTTGATAGAAAGTTGGTGATCTCTGGAAAGCAGTAACTTCACTTCACCTTGTCCAAGGCCCCAGCATCCCCAGGGTAATAACGGTCCAGTCATCTCTGTCTGGGAAGCAGGTGGGGAGGGCTCCTGGATCCCAAGGAAGCAGGGTACCCTGATCCATATCCTGATTCACATCTGGATGGAACTGCCAGTGTCTTCTCTGAGCTCAAGGACCCCTTTGGCTCTTGAATAAAGACCAGGCTAGTTTTGCTGTCACCTGGCGGCAATATGCTGAGGCTTGTTGTCCCAAGTTCACTGAGGTTGATTCCAGCCAGCTCTTGCCCTTGTTTGGGATTTTAGCCATCCATGTGGTACGCTGGGGAAGCGAGGGACCCTGGACAGGGTGTTAAACTGCCGGGGTGGGACTGGTGCATCAGTAAAGCAGTGGAAGCCATCCAGGAGAGTGAGGTTAGGGCAGAAACCCAGGGAAGTGGTTTGTTGTTGTTTGTTGCAGGGAGAAACAACCCCTGTAGGAGGCAGAAAGGGCTGGGCAAGATATCCAGGAGGGAGGCCTTAGAGGATCAGCTTTCTGAGCCCTGCTGGGTGATGGTGTTGGAGAGCAGGCTTCCAACACTCCACGCCCCCTTTTCAGAAATGATGAGTCAGAGCAACGAGAGGAATAATTTTAACATTTTAGAAACATGGGACTTCAACTAGGTAAAGGGGCCCAGGCAGAGTAGAGAGGAGGGTGACATCTGAGCTTGGTGCATGTTCCTGCCCCCTCTCAGAGTTGAAGAGCAGCATGAGACTGAGACCCAGGGAGATGTTAAGTCAAGGCCATGGAGCTCAAACCCACCTTTCAACTAGACCCTCCATTCAGCCTGGTCTCTGAGCACCAAAGCCATCCTTCCTTCCAGGGAACCATATTAGAGTCAAGACTTCAGTCTTAATCAGACTAGGTTTATCGAGGGGAGGGGCTAAGGAGGGTGGTTGGTTTCCTTTTAGAGGTGTTGTTCCATCTATGCTGACTTGCCCGCTCTTCTGTCTGCGTAGGTGTAGACGGGGCACTGCCTGCAGAGCAGGTCCTGCCAGCCTCGCTGGAGAGGATGCCCTCGTGTCCGTGATGGGCTGTGGGACAAGCAAGGTCCTTCCCGAGCCACCCAAGGATGTCCAGCTGGATCTGGTCAAGAAGGTGGAGCCCTTCAGTGGCACTAAGAGTGATGTGTATAAGCACTTCATCACGGAGGTGGACAGTGTTGGCCCTCTCAAAGCCGGGTTCCCAGCAGCCAGTCAGTATGCACACCCCTGCCCCAGTGCCCCCACTACTGGCCACACAGAGCCTCCCTCAGAACCACCACGCAGGGCCAGGGTGGCTAAGTACAGGGCCAAGTTCGACCCACGTGTGACAGCTAAGTATGACATCAAGGCCCTGATTGGCCGAGGCAGCTTCAGCAGAGTGGTACGCGTGGAGCACCGGGCTACCCGGCAGCCATATGCCATCAAGATGATCGAGACCAAGTACCGGGAGGGGCGGGAGGTGTGTGAGTCTGAGCTGCGCGTGTTGCGCCGGGTGCGTCATGCCAACATCATCCAGCTGGTAGAGGTGTTTGAGACCCAGGAGCGTGTGTACATGGTGATGGAGCTGGCCACGGGTGGAGAGCTCTTCGACCGCATCATCGCCAAGGGTTCCTTCACCGAGCGTGACGCCACGCGGGTGCTGCAGATGGTGCTGGACGGTGTCCGGTATCTGCACGCACTGGGCATCACACACCGAGACCTCAAGCCTGAGAATCTGCTCTACTACCACCCGGGCACCGACTCCAAAATCATCATTACTGACTTCGGCCTGGCCAGCGCCCGCAAGAAGGGTGACGACTGCCTGATGAAGACCACCTGTGGCACGCCCGAGTACATAGCCCCCGAGGTCCTGGTCCGCAAGCCCTACACCAACTCCGTGGACATGTGGGCACTGGGTGTCATCGCCTACATCCTGCTCAGTGGCACCATGCCCTTTGAGGACGACAACCGCACCCGGCTGTACCGGCAGATCCTCAGGGGCAAGTACAGTTACTCGGGGGAGGTGAGTGTGTCCTGCCCCCGTGCAGGCGATGTTGGGGAGGCTGGGTCTGTTGGGTGGGTCTGTCCTGCAGGTCTCAGTCAGGGGCACATGCTCTGAGGGCCAGGCAGGTAATGCAAAAATGACCAAGCGAAACTAACAGATTGTCTCAGTTTGAGTTCCCCCAAAAGTGAACCCTGAGATAAGGACTTGGGAATAGATGGTTTATTTGGATGTGGTTCCAGTAACCACAAGGGAAGGACTGGGAAAGGGAAACCACCAATAAAGGGTACATTAAGAAGTGTACTGCCACTGTGGACCACCAGAACCCAGCCCCACTGAGGACTTTGGGAATAATCATGCCTCAATTGTACCACTGCAGTGGGTTTTTTTTTTTTTTAATCCACTGACTCCTGTACCTCATGGGTTGAGAATTTCTTTGGGGGTGTCAAACTGCTGGCGCTTCTGGGTTGTCCCAAATGCCAGCTAGTGCTGGAGAACATCCTTAGGCAGAGAGCAGAGAGGTGCAGGCACTGGCAGTGGGAAGCTGTCACCAGGCACGGGAGCAGTCTGCTGCAGCTGCACGTGGCTGGGAGGATGCGGGGCAGGGCCTCCCCAGCATCTGCTAGAGCGAACGTGCTCTGTCTCAAGGAGCACCTGCTTCTCATCTCTGTCCATTTTGCCACACAGCAGTGAGGATCCCATGTGTCCAGATCTTCTGATTTTTTTGAAAGAGAAGCCAGAAAATCTGATCTTAAAATGCTGGAATCTAATTTACATATTTAAGCAGCACTCTGTGTGCCAACAAACGCTAACCTGGGGGCCAGATTCAGCGAGCAGGCCATCAGTTTGTGTCTTTGGATTCATTGATAGTCCTGACAGCTGCAAAAAATCTCCTAAGTTTCTGCACCGCTGGGAGCTGAAGGCAGGTACAAAAAAAGTAAGACTGGTCAGGCCTTAGGAAGGATGCCAGCTGGGTAGGAGACAAGGCTGACTACAGGAAGCAGCGAGCGCTGCAAGCTGGAGCATAATGGTGTGCTCCTCGGGAGGCTGTGAAGAAGAGAATGTGTGCCGGCTTCACGTGGGAGGCGAGGTGAGCTTAGCTTTGCAGGATGACAGCATTCTGCCAGGGCAGTGAAGGTCCCCTCCCCCAGGTCAGGCCTGGGTCCGCCCAGGTGCTGTCTGTGTCTCTCGTGTACCCGTGGAAGGGAAAGAGTTCTGGGAGCAGCTCCCTTTCTTTCCAGGGGCTTGGGCCGGGCCCTCTCTGGCCCCAGCCAGCGTTTCCTGCAAGTGTCACTCAACAGCCTCATGCCACTTTGCCTGCAGCGCTTGAGAGCCTGTCAGCTTCCAGGTGTGGCTGTGGGGTCTGTCAAGGACTTCCCTCCCTGGGAGGGGGCGGGTCTCCAGGCCTTGTACCTCAAAGGTGGTATGAGGAAGGGAGGGAAGCCTTCCTCTTTAGGCCTGCTCTGTCACAAGCACAGGGCAGGGTGTCTGTTTGCACCACTGTTAGGAGAGGGGTGGGCAGGCGCGAGGCAGGACTTAGGACACTAACTAGGACCTGTGGGCCCATGGTGAAGGGGTCACTGTAAACCCCCTAGACCCCCTGGTGCTTCCTGCAGAATGTTCAGCCTTGTGTTGTGGGAGCTCTGGCCTCTGAAGCTCTGCATGGTACCAGGCCGTTCAGGGTCCAGCTGGCAGAGAGGGTATGGAGTTTACCTGTGGCAGGGAGGAAAAGAGATTTCCCAAGAGATGCTGACAGAGGAAAGACTCTTTCTAGAAGTCTCTAGGTCTGCCTAAGAGTTCCTGATTGTAGCAATTGTTGGTCAGGCAATTTATCTAATTGGAGCTTGCACGGTCTTGCTAATGGGCTATTGATTATCTGAGGGCTGGAGAATGACAAATGAATGGGATGAGGAGTGGACTCAGGCTTCCTGCTCCCACTGTAGCTGGAAGACTGAGTTCTGAGATCCTGCTTCCTGCTCTGGTGGAACCACAGGGCATGACTCTGAGATTCCCAGTGTGCGTGGGAAGCATAAGTTTCCAGCTCCAGAGGCAAACCCCTGGCAGGCCCTGCTGGTACTTGTCTATTACCAGGAGCTTGGCTGACCCTAAAAACAAATTCCACAACTATGTGCAGGGAGCTCTGGGTCGGGAGGGATTTGTCTGGGGGGAGGGGACTTCATCAGGCTCTCTGAGCTGGGGACCAGTCTGTCTTTACATTCTGGTGGTCACTGCTCACCTACAAGCCCACCTGGGGAAAATGCAAGAGATGTGAAGGCCTGTTCTTTATCTCCATGGAGCTTGAGATTACCTACAGATGGGCCTTGGTGTAGAGCCACTGCGCCTGGGCAGTCTGGAACATGGGCTGTGAGGCTCAGGTCAGGCAGTTGGGCCCTCTGTCTTATACTGTGTGATGGTCAAGGCCATTTAAGTGAGCAAGCCTCTGCCAGAAAAACCTGAGTGTTGAGGGAGTATTGCTGTGTAAATGAAGGGTCTCCCACTCTGAGCTCAGCAGGGTTTGGAGCTGTGCATTTCCTCCCCAGAGAGTAAGTCTCATGCACTTGGTGCCCTCCTAGGGGCACTTTTCCTGTCCCTACCCCTCTTTTATTTTTTATTTTTAGAGACATGAGCTATCACTTTGTCACCCAGGGTGGAGTACGGTGGTGCAGTCATAGCTCACTGTAACCTCATACTCCTGGGCTTGAGTGATCCTCCCACCTTAGCCTCCTAAGTAGCTGGGACTACAGGCACACACCACCATGCCTAGCTAATTTTTTTTTTTTTTTTTTTTAGAAATGGGATCTCACTGTATTGCCCAGGCTGGTCTCAAACTCCTGGCCTCAAGCAGTCATCCTGCCCTGGCCTCCCAAAGCACTGGGATTAAGGGCATGAGTCACAGTTCCCAGCCTCCTGCCCCCTTTTATAGTGTAGTGTCTCTTATACACTAGGCCCATTCTGGCATGTTTGTTCTCCGAGGGCTCTGTCCATGTAGCCCCAGGCCCCACCAGGCTTAGTGGTTTCCATGGACTTGAGTAGAAGGCTTCCTGCAGGAGGTGGGTTTTGAGAAGGAGGAGGGGACATTGCTGGCTGCTCGAGAATAAATAGGAGACGGTTTGGGAGTAATGGAGCAGAGGTTGAAGAGGTTGGGGCAGGGCCGGTGTTTGTTGTTGGGAGCTTTCTGCACAGTGGGAGGGAACCCTCTGGGTTCTTGGTAGCGAAGGAGGAATGCAGCAGAAAGTGCTGGGGAGATGGACAGGAGGAAGACTAACTGGAGGCTGTTGGAATAATGCCGGCCTGGCCTCTTGGGCATGTTCGGGGCAGATCAGGGGTCCAGGGAGTGTGCTCCACATGCTACGTGTAAACCACAGAGAAGGGGGTATTGTACGCAGCTCTGGCTCCGTGCAGGAGGGACATGAGCTTGAGAGGATAGATTTGGAGAGAATTCGGGCTGCACCTGGAGAGTATGCAAGGTCCTGCCTTGACATCCCTTGTGGGGCCCAATAATAGACACTTCTGATCCTCACTCCGCTCCCAGTGTTGGCCTTAGAAATTTGATCAACTCTAAAAAGTCCAGTGGGAGGCCGAGGTGGGAGGATTGCTTGAGCTCAGGAGTTCGAGACCACCCTGAATAAGAGCAAGACTCCATCTCTACTAAAAAAAGTAAAAATTAGCCAGGCGTGGTGGTGCATGCCTATAGTCCCAGCTACTC